GTGACTATTAAACGAACAACAAAAAAGTGAAATAAATTTGGATACAATGAAATTAAACTAAAATTATAAAAATTCATATGAAAAGGTAAATAAATCTTAAACGTACATCTCGTTAAACTGTAAATGACAATCCTTGGCATACCCTATCCAAATCTAGATCAGTTATCCGCGAATGCCACGAATTGAACGTGGATTGGTAGGGAACTTCGGCGAAATTGTCTTCGAGAAAGTTCAGCGTCAACTTCAGCGGAGAACGTGTAATGATCATCGAGCTTGGGCACCCCACCCGTTAAAATAAAAAGGAATCAACACTAGCAAAGCTTGAGCAAACTTTGCCGAAATCCTAGATGGGTGAAACATCAATTCCATCAGGATTCTTTACGGGGCTGCTGGACTTCACAGGCATTTTCCCGATTAGGAATACCAGTTCCATCAGAAACCTATTTCACCGTTGGTTAGGTGCTCGCGGAATTAGATCTAGGTCGAAGCTTTCACCCACCGAAGTACGACTACGCGGTCGGGGAATCGTTATTCTCTACGGACAACGTGCGGATCCGTACACACGTATGTCCGCTATTTTCGTCAGGTATACTGCGGACCAAAGCTTCGCTTCCCAAAAACCTTGTTACCTGCCATAGACCCTTTCATCCATTACGTGATATATAGTTACAACTGTGTCTAGAGGTAATTAACACTAGAACAACCACACTCGTCAAAATGATGAATTACAGTTTTCATATTTCGCAATTATTGATATATTAACCCCTTGCCTTCCAATAACGTGTCAGACTCATGATAAAGATTTTAAACAGAACGAAACAAGCATGAGTGTTACTTGTTGAATTCAAATTAAATATTATTCTTCTGTTATCAATTATTATACTTTGGAGCGAGGATTGGTATAAAATATGCTTATCATTTTATTCTTTTTCTTAATAAATTATTAATGACAATGTAGTTGTATCGATAATAGTTGAGAAATAAATCGTAGGGCAACGGGTTAAAAGCTTTAAATATCCAACATGATTTGAAAAATAAGTAGCTTCAATTCAATGCTGTACTCAATATATGAAGAAGTCGAAAAATGCCTGTTGCTACAATTTTTATAGGGACTACATATTAATTATATTAAACGCTCGGTTTTTCTAGTGTTAACACTAAATCTACAAATCGTCAAAACTCAAATTGAGTGGATTCTATTTTTTATAAAGCATACCAGTCAATCCGTACTTTACTCTTAGAAGTAAATTCTGAATCACAAAAGTCAATAAAGAAAGTTCTTATAAACATGGGATAATTCCGAATGAAATAGCCTGATCTGATTAGAATTATCAAATATTTTCAATTTTCTTGAGTGGTGTGCTGAATATATAGAAACCTATTTAACTATAATATATATAATTTTTATTAATTCTCACGTGAGTAATCAATTATATTTTTATCACACAATAGGAACTCACTATGACACAAAAATAAAATCATATAAGATATAGGGTAAATTGGGCAGAGATGACCTTTATAAAAAGAACTATTACATCATAAATATTATTGATATCTCATAAAAAATAAAACATATTTATGAGAATAAATATTCTTATATATGAAAAATATGTCGATGTAAACATATAATTATAATTATTATAATACACAAGACAATTAGAAAGACAAAAAATTTTGTAAGAAAAATGAAAAAGGAAATAAGGAATATAAAAATAGGTCTACAAACAATGGACCGCACCCTACAGAACCAATCGCAGCAGAATATTTTCTCTTAACTTTGACCGCACCTGGTAGGCAGAAGTTCGCTCACGTGCGCCTTTCTCTTAACTACCTCCGTCGTAAAAAGGCTTCGAGCTTGCACTTTCCGTACTGGATACGCACACACACATACATAGTTCCATAAAATTAATCAGTCGAACTCTGTGTTTCATCCAAAAATGGTCGAAGAGTGTCAGTCTGATTGACACCGAGGTTGCGCTACAGAATGTGGCTCTTCGTTTCGATGCGATCCGTTGTGCCCGACACCACACTATTTATCTTCACAAGAAATGTTCAGAATGATTTCTTTTCATCTGAATCCACATTGATGATCACGTTCTTAGAGTCGGTATACAGAAGACTAATGTTCTGCAGCCGTATACAAGAAATACCAACAAGAAAGTGTTTACAATATAGTAATACAAGATTCAACAACAGATATTGAAATCTGTTAGTAAAGAAATAGATGGTTCAACTAGAATTGGTTCAACTATTATTCCAATATAAAACTCACTATAACTTGAAAACGAAATCGAATCTATTTTCAAGAGGTCTTCTCGATGGACTGAAACACCCCGTATACATTAAAATCGTGGCTTTGTTCAAATTTTGACTGACTATACTTTAGTTTGCATAATAGTGCGTTGACAGTGACTAACCGAACGTTCGTTCGATTCTCGATTCAACAAAATTGAAGTTTAAACGAATATTCGTCCATTGTTGGTAAATGATTCTTATTTGATCTTATAAACAAATAAAATTACTTTTTTACGTGAAAATAAGTATTCATTATAAGTTGAGATTAGTGAAAAAAACTTTATAAACTACATCCAATGTGTTAAAATTGATTTAAGTTGTCTAATAAATAGTATTTTCGTGGCATTGTTGATTTTTCAAATATTTAATTTATCTATTACTCGAAAAACTATATAGTAGAAACATATGTTACAAATTCATTATTTTTTCTATCAACGCAACTGTATAACTATACTAACAGTACTAGACAAAACGTAACTAGACAAAATTTAACTATACGATTGGTAATGAAAAATTACAATTTGTAGAGAAATTGAAATCATGAATTCCAAAATAACAGAAGTCTACTTTTTAACGTTATCCATATAAGTTATTGATGTAAACATTTCAGTTCACTCAGACCTAGTTAATAATATTAAAAATGTGTACGTAATGAAGATGTAGTGTAGCCAATGCTTACAACAAGAATCAACAAAATAGATAAAGAATGAATCAACGAAGATAAAAAAAAAGATTGATTTTCTCAGAATGTTAATTGATTCACTTGTGCTATTTTAGAATTCATGACTTCAATTGTTCTTAAATAATAAAATATGTATTAGTAACAAAATTGAAAACTTATGAAGAAATTATAGCCAGAAATTCTAATACTTTGCGAATTTACCGATGTACTTAAAACCTCCCCTTACGGAACTCAGCACTTTATCTTCCAAAGTCTTCGCTTCCCGTTCTCTTTAGTTTCCGCGTTTTATCTCCCAAGCTCGTTGCTGTCCTCTTACTCTTTTACGTCACGGAATGCAATTTGCCGCGCTAACAGCTCTGACGCTCTGACGGACACAGCTTTTTGATATAAGGGAAATCATTAACCACCCAAGAACAACACGTATAACGACGCTGTGGTCCGAGAGAGTACTGTTTAAGCTTCTCTAATTATCAAACGCCGTCGCGTTTATCTTTTCCTTCGTATCAGCTTATGTCCTTCGATCGGGTTTTATTAAGAGAATGAATCCTTTAATCTAAAAAACTATATTGTTCGCTTCGACAAAAAGCTGGAACGTTAATTCTATATTGTACAATAATAACGTTGAAACATGTCGATTCTAATTTGTGTGTTTGGCGATTCATGGTGATGTTGAATGCATCGCTGATATAATATTTACTTATACCTAGTAAACGTCCCCTCAAACTATATTTTAATTATTATAGAGTTTCATAGAAATATCATTTTTCCTGTTACAAGTCTATATAATAGTAATATATAATATATACTAATAGTAGTATATAATTATAATAAGTATTTATATAGACTTGCGTATATTAAACTATACGTACAACTTCTTTTTTATTAATTATTGTAGCACATCAAAGATAAGTTTCCTAGAACAAAACTGCTCTTACGCTACCTAGTTGACGACACTATAAGAGGAAGCTCATTACAGTAGAGCTAAAACCATCTTTGATCTTCTTTCTTTTTTGTTTGAACAAAAAATATATCACAATCTGAATTTATAAATGAAAAAGACAAACATTACAATAGGATTTATTCAAATGAAATTTCGCTGAAATCAAGGAACGATAATTTTTCTAAATTTGTATGAAAATGGGCAAAACTAGGTTATATATCGTTCTGGTTATTAACGATTATTTTTGTTTATTATAGAAGAAATTTAAGGAAATATTTGTTCAAAAAGCGGCTTTCATTAAATTCCTCATTAACCCTTTGGGTACGGAATAGTCCCAGCCAAAACGTTCCGTGTAGACGGAATATCTTTTGCTTAGCTTGTCGTCTAAAGATCAATGGATATATACTTTATTTAGCCAGTATAACTATTGCCAGTGAAAGAAATAAAATATAGATGTTAATGATTTAATTTCTAAAAAACACTATGTGGTACTAGAAATTTGAATAATATCTTGAAATAAAATTTACTAGCTGATTAGTGATGTTTTGTTGTGTATTTTAACTTATTTGAAATTGCAAAATTGAAACAATTTTATTATTAAAACGAATAATGGCCCATGACGTATAATAGAAATGATCGTTACTGATGTAATTAGTCTTTTCCCTCCGATGCGCTTATGGTAAAATGTGGTCGCTGTGAACCAAACATATCGCCTACAATTCGATGGTAATATATAGAGCGTTTGCGATACTTGATTGAGTGTTATCGTCAGAAGAAATATTATAAATACGTCTTACTAATAAGTAATCAGTAAACTGCAGATCTTTATGCAAACAGAAATGTTTAAAAACACAATTCAATACATATAGATAATTCAATTATTTTTATAAATAGTTGACTTTCAGTTAAATGTTATATGAATTAATTATAAATTTTTAATCTTATCGAACTAGATTCACTTCCTAATTAGTACACTTCGAAATTTTATGAAAGACCCGAGTTATTATTTGGTTAAGCAATTACAATAATTCAATTGTTATTATACGATCTTCGATTAATATTCTTATATTATATTTTACTCACCCTTTTTTATTTAAAGTTTAGATTGTTGCAAAACATCAAGAATCATGAGCTTCGCTTCTGATCTTCAAATAACTCTTCACCATAATTGACACTTTCTTGAGAAGAAAAAGGTACTTTAATACCCTTTAAGGTACAACAAGTACAAATACATACTCTTTTACTGTGAGTACACTCGAAGTTGCTCTGTTGAATATGTAGAGCAGACGGAAATTCTGTACTTACTATCGTCGTAATTGCTCTCTTCCGATGCAAATTCAAATACGCACGTGTGGTACAATAAACCAGATGCGAAACTGACTCCTTCTAGTCCTATTCAAAGTTCAGCTTGAATTTCCATAATAATTGTTGCATCAGAATTGAAAGTGTACAGGTTTCGATCGTTTCATGATACAGATCACTACGATGTAACGTATGTTTACAATTAAATGCTGTAATGAAAAATGTTATACAATTCAATCAATTAGCATAATCATTGCAAAAATAATGTAAGAAGGATATAATTCTTTGAAATACTGTGAAAGACAATTGCACATTTGATTGTGCGCACTGTTTTGCCAAAAGTTCCCGAAACATCCAATTTTCACCAACTTTGGAAGCTATTTTTAGTCTTTCAATATGAATTATAACCAATGAAAGAATACGTGTACTTCTTTAAAATAAACAAATATACTTTGCATGTGTTGATACTTGACAATTTTTAAGTTAAATTTAAAAGATATATTGCACCACAATTAAATTCAGTTTGGAAACATTAACTGTAACTAAGAGATTAATTCTATTTATTTAAAGTTTCTGGAGACAATTGAAAGAAATAGGATTTAAACAGTTTAATTTCTTACTTTAAGACATTTATTAAAAGTGTATATCATTTATTACGAAATAAACTCTGCTATCATTGAAATAATCGATTTCATTTTGTTGTTCAAGGATTTTGTTACCGGTCTCAGTATACTCTCTCGTGGTTCTATCGATGAAAAACTGCGTTGGACATTTTCCCTTTACGATATCAACGGCGACGGCTGTATCACAAGACAAGAAATGACGGACATCGTGACAGCTGTATACGAGCTGATGGGGAAATTTGCTGATCCAAATTTGGACCACCAAGGCGTACGTGAGAAAGTTGATCGAATGTTCCAGGTATGAATTTCTCACATTTTTATTTTCCGCGAAAATAATTTGGTACTTGCGTATTGTACATACTACGTTTATTTAAAAAAAATGAAATATTAATAATGATAGTAATAATAAAATATTAATAATGTATTATAATATTATAATAATATATAAATACTAATCGAGACCTAACTCGAATGAAACGAAAGTGGTCCGTATAATACATAAGTACCAATAATTTCAATCTTCAATAGTTTTCCCTTCGAACTGCGAGTAGTTTCTCCAAATTTCTCCAATTTTTTTATTATTGATTTCTTCCCCGTAAAGAACAGTATCTTGTAAACCGAATTTATTATTTAACAGAAGAAAATAGGTTTAAATAAGTTCATTATTGTTCTGAACCATTTCAAAATCTATCACTGTGCGATTTTATCAATCAACATATCCGATATAAACATTGGAATACACAACAATTTTCAGAATTCGATTATATTCGTCATATTCTCTATGAATTGACTTTGTTCATGACATAACCGCTCTACAACTTAATAAATATATTTACTAGGTTGAGAAATGCCATTAATTCTAACAGTAGGTGTATATAAGTAGCTACCACAAAATTGATTTCAAAGTCATTAATTTACAAAATCAAATATTTTCTTATTTAGGTTAAGAATAAATCATTTATTATATACCCCATTTTATAATAAATAATTAACTTGATGTTTTACAAAGTTTCATACGTCAATAATATAAGAATATAATTTTATTATTTCTATTTCTTATAAATCAACAAGAAACAATTTTGTACTCGTCCTTACTCAATGTATTTCATTTATTTTAATAAGTGCAGCATATCGTTAAGATTTCAACCAAACTTTTTACATAGTCTCTAAATTTTATTGTTGTGTTAATTTTTCTTTCAGAAATTAATAATTTGTTATTAATATCTAACAGTAGAATCAAAACGATATTCACAAATTAGTAGGTTTTATTTCATTATAAAGTCTATATATAAAACTTTTCAGAAAATGTTCGTCAGTACTAACATAACAAATAACAGTGCTCATTTACGTTGAGAAAAGAGAACGGGTGCTCGCTTATAAAATATCTCTTCCTTGGCAATCGAAGAAGAAGTTGTATTTTTCATCGGCTGTCGCATTGTTAGCTGCGAATGACAATGTCTACAATGATCCGCTCATACCTTTTATTATCTTCCTTTCGCATCGAATGAAAAGGCGACTCAATTCGTTCAAGAAAAACAACTTGTGGAAATATCTGTATATTCTCATCAGAAACAAACCTTGTTATCTTGCGTAGCTGCAGACTTCCATGCTCGTGTCAGAATTTACGTTGCAGCCCAGACAGACGGTACATACCATATGTCACGTATTTATATACAGAGTGTCTCATTTTAACGTATAAATAATGTAAGAAAAAAAATATTTTTAACGACACAATTTCTAGGAATTATCTGCGCAACGTTTAGAAAAACAATCTATCCAAGTACATCAGTTCACACGCGCAATGTACAGGATGTCATTGGACCGTATCATTTGTATTTACTAGTAAACCATTTATCACATAAAAAAATTTACAAGCGAAACTTATTCGGTATCAATGAAACCAACCGTATTTTCTATTCTTGATGCCAAACAATTTTTACATCTAACCCCCAATTTCGGCGGAAACCCGTTCCACGCGAATTCGTTTTACGCGAATAAAAATCGCGTAAATAGAGTCTGTCGGTACAAGAGAAAACAAAATATTGGAAAGAAAAGCTAAGATATGTTTTATAAATACATATTTATTTAGTTCCGGAAATAATTGCATTTAAAGATTAAAATGGGACACTCTGTATGTATCCAAAACTGACAATAAAGACACTTCACTTTCAGTTTGCGTTTAACTCCTTCAGACTTGATTTTTTCACATATCTAACAACATTGGACCACCATTCAATGCACCATCTGTAACGACATTATTTCGAATAAAATAGTGGAAGTATATTACCTTTCTGATAGAAATAAACTTAATGCAAGGGTGTATGTGTAGTTGCCTGTTATAATTTTAATATTTTGTCAGTTATTAAAGTATTGAAACAGGGTACATTATATCGGGCGTCGGATCTGAAAGGGTTAAGAGGACTTACTTGTTGGAAAATAAAATGAAAACTGATTTGTCTTACGTATTTTTGTATATTTTAAAAACACTATAAACCGAGTCTAATGTAGAAATTTTAAAAGACAAAATTATAACATTTTGAACGGAACAAGTACTTTAAACACGTTCGTTTAAATGCCATTTTCTTTCATACAGTGACCGTGAAAATATGGAAAGTTGTGCTGTTTGACTGGAAATTTTACATGAGAGTTTCTAATAAAATTTTACATTTATTAACGAAATTGTTTACTTACAACAAAAGAAGGTAGATATTTTTTAAAGGAAACGTAACTTCTCGATTATAGTACTGCCTTTTCTAGTTTCTCTAAATTTTCAAAAATTACTCGGATAACAGTTAACTATTAATATGGTTTGTAAATAGAAATTTGAATATTTAATTTCGTACTCGATCTACAGTCGTTTTCACATTCACTGTACAGATACCTAGAAAGAAAAGAGCTTTCTAAATACACTTGTAATTAAAAATATGCTTCTGTGAATAAACCTTAAAAATCAAAAATTACATGTACAACACATTGCTTTTCTTTTGTAGGAACACTTTTTCCAGCATTGCTATTGTTCTTTTTACACTTCGAAACATATAACTAACAGAAAGGTGTTTCAGAATTAAATCTATTTATTAAGTTCAGTCAAAGAATCAGAATCTGGTTAAATATTACCCCATATAATAATATTTATTAGCGTGTTTGGCTTCAAAAGTTTCCTTAAAAAACTTTTGTATTACTGGAAGATAACAGTTCTATCTTGGGGAAGAAAACAGAATGGTCGTACTTTTCCAAACGACAATTGACTCATGCTAAGGCCATACGCAGCTGTAGAACGACTTTAATTTATAGACCAATATCCTTGAAAAAGAGATCTTTATACATGTACAACATTCTGCGTGGGCAGCGTAAAGGAACTAAATCACGAGGTTAGCAGGCGGTACACAATACGGAATAGTCTTTATGTCTTACATAATTATCCTTATATTTCAATCGTATCTTTAGTCAGGATATTAAAAAACTGTTTACCGCTAAAATCACCAAGCGTTTAACACTAAAAGCACCAAACGGGTCAAAATCACCGATTCTTAACATTTTCCTTTGAAATTATTAAAAAGATAACAGATGTTTCTTTCTTAGCTTTTCTTTTTCTTTCCTTTTTCCCTTTTCTTTCTCAATTCAATACTATATTATTTATCAACTCTAAGAGGTTCAGAAATGATGTTCTTTCCATTTTAAGAATTACTTTTTATAGGAATTAAATAAAAATTGGGGTCTGTTACTTTTGAATTGTCCCTTGTTAACTGTTCTAGCTTTCATCGTACAACCTTTATCAAATCTTCTAATATACACGGAACAGAAAGGAAATGCAATTTATTACTGAAATAGAATAAATTCATTTGGTTCTCGACAAAGAAGAACATGAGAACATTTTGGTGACATGGAATTGCCAATTTAAAGTTTGTCTCTTGCCGACACTAAAGAAGAATACAAAGTTTAAAGTGGTTGCGATTTCATTCCCCGCCATTACTTTTCTTTGTGGGTATGTTGTGTCGATACATGCTACCGATCAATGTTACAGAGCCAACTTATATTACATTTTTTTGTATATAACGAACAGAAGTAAAATTCTTTACGTATAGCAAACAGAAATTATTCTTATGTAATATGGATACTTGTTATTTACCTTAATACAATGAAATTGGAGTAGAATAAAAAATAACCATATAACAAAATTGCGTCTTTCGTAGTTTTTATTTCATATGTGTCAAATATTGACTGTGCTTTAAGAATCTGAAATGATTTAAAATAATTTTTATATTCTTTTATTTGATACGTGTCAAATATTGATTGTACTTTAAGAATCTAAAATGATTTAAAATAATAAGTGCTATTCACGGAATTATATTAATTATTTCAGTTACTACCCCTAAAGTATATACTACACCTAGAATTATTTAAGCACATATTAAAAATGAAAATGTATACATGCAACAGAGTAGAAGAGACGATGATATTTATAGAACATATTAATGAAACAATAAATGTTCTCGTCCATTTGCCAAATGTAAAATGATATGTTCTTTTTAGTACATGAAAATTATTTATAATTCTATTAACAAATTATTTATTTATTTCAATCAATTTATTAAATAACGTAATAAATTATTGGTACAATTTGAATACTCGGATTGAAGAAGATAATAATACAGTCTTTAACATTGAAAAAAAACGGCTTCCCGGAATCGCTATTGAATTTTCTTATTTCTTGTTTTACAAATAAACAAACATATTCATTTTCACATTACTATTTTATTTATACATGCTGACCAGTATCAATATATGCTTTTCATGATAAAATGAATGAAAATATTTCCAAAATCCAAAACTGAATAATTATAACTATAAGTTCTTGATTTATTTAATTAAGTATTTTACATTATATGTAACAGTCCAATTTTGTACATTATGATTTTAATCTAAAACTCTGCGCTATTATTTATAAGGAAACATACATTTTCTGAATAAGTGAAAGATATTCAAATGGCATTTGTTTAAAAAAGAATTATTGTTCATCCAAAATGGTGAGCGAAAAGCTATTAACAGATTTTTTAAATATCGGACAGAAAATAATATTATTATCTATATTAACTCATAATCGAAGCTTCACAATTTTACAGATACAATTTTGACACTTTGCTAAGAACCTAAGGAGAATATCCACTTATAATTTATAAATTAAAATACAACTTGTACATAAATACATAACCGTTACTGTATTCGTCAATGCGTTCGTTTCGACACACGAAATATATAAACCTTGACACCTGAACAATTTTATGACCCTGCTATAGT